GATAAAATAGTATGAACGTTCTAAAATAAATTACTCAGATAATTTTTTTGAATGGAGTTAACCAGGTTTAATAAAAAGTGTAAATCCAAAAGTCTGGAAAATAGATGAACTGAAGAAGAGAGGTGCAGGGCAATTTCAGCATTACATCCTTATTTTAGGCTTACACTACCCCACAGAATATTATGACTCCTATAATGGCACTTCTCACATGTTTTAGTCATATTTATGTAAATCTCTTTTTGTAAAATAATCACAATATTTTTACAAAAAGTTTGAGATTATCTGTAGCATGTAAAATAAATGTGTGCATATCTTGGGCTTATTCACGAAGAAGAACTCTTGTTTTTTAAAAAAAAAACAAGACCTAGAAGTAATCCAACCAAATTTTGGATCACGACTCGCGAGTAAGTCCAATAATCTAACAAACAAATCCAAAAAACTGAACCAACGTTTATAAAAGATTATAATTATAAAAGGAAAAATTATCAAAAAGATCCTCGTATTATAGCATAAAAATCAATGAAGTCCTCATACAATAAAACCATCCGACCAATTCTTCAAACTATGAAAAAACATCTTATTACTCTTTTTAGCAGGTCACTGGTTTTCCCGGTAGTGACTCATGTGGGCAGCCAAGTAGCATCATTTTTTTTTCTAGGAAAGGGAATGACACATATAGTCATCTTCCTTAGGGGTGGGTCGGTGAAACCGAAAACCAAAAACCGAATTAAAAAAACCGAACCGCAACCAAAACAACCGAACCGCAAGAAAACCGAAACCGAACTCAAAAAACCGAACCGTAGTTGTTTGGTTCGGTTTTGGTTTTCACATCTCAAAACCGAACCGAACAAACCGAACTTTTTAAAACTTGTTATTTATTTATTAATCATTAAGTATAAATTTTTTTAGTTCTTAATTCTTAATTCTAGAAAATTAATGTTTGATATAGATTTTATTATGATTTGCAAGATTTTGATATTTGATATTTATGGCTTAATTAAGTGAAACAGTTGTACATACACTTAAGTGTATTGCTATAATACTAATATGTTGATATTTTAAATCGTAATTTACGTTTTGCTTGTTGTTGCATGACAATGATATTTTGTTGATATATTAATTGTTATGTATGTTTATTATCACATACTCCCTTCGTCCCGTTAAGATTGCCCCAGACACTATTCACTTGGTCAACACAAACCACTCTTAATCTCTTACTTTATATATTATATTTTTATCAAATTTGATTCTGGTTTGTGCGACTTTGTAAAGTTTTAATGTAGTTTCTGAATATGATTTTTAAAAAGAAAAAAAAAATTGAGTGCGAACAGAGATCTGTTTGCTTTATCGTCGGTTAAACATCGTAAATCGAATTGCATGTCCCAAAAAATAGTGGAACGGAGGTAGTAATTTTTTGTATTGAACAATATGTATTAATATAAACTATACTTTAAACAACATATTAGAAAACATGAAACTTTAGAGCATAAATATCTTTGTCTAATGATAAAAAAAAAAAACTTTGTCTAAAAAGAAAGTAGAATAAGTTATTTACTAATAAATTTTTTTACTTGCGAATACACTACATATAATTTACAAATAAAGTCATGCATTTAATAAGTTTAGAAAACGTTTAATTAAATTGGTATGCATGTACTCTCCCATTCCAAATGATGTATATCACATATTGATATGACTGAATTATTAAAAACTGGTTGAAAAGTAAAAGTTATGATTCTTGTTTGAATAAAATAAAGTTAGGTGATACAACCGACTGTATATTTCTTGGCTAAAAAGAAAAACCCTTGCAATTCAAAAGGGAAAACAAGACACATGACACATAATAATAATTAGAGAAAGAGAGGGTAGTAAGCATGAAAACATATATTCATAATAATATTCTAATAAAATGAGTGATGATGATGGTGTCACAAACCATATACTACCTCCGTTCTTTAATAAGTGCAACATGTTGAATTTTATACTATTCACATGTTGTACTTTGACTACGTTTAATTAAATAATGTATTAATATATTTTTTTGAAAAAAATATTGTTAAATTTGTCTCATTTTAAATTTTCAAAATCTTTTTTTTTAATTTTTTTACAAATAAAGAATTGTATATATTAATGGTCAAAGTTGTGTCTCGACAAGTGTGAAATGTTGACCGTTGCACTTATTTAAGAACGGAGGAAGTATAACTCTACAAAAGGTGAGTATATGCACGAGCCTTCATAAACCTATCCCTTAGGATGTTTCAGTTAGATTAAAATATTCTAGTCTGACCTAGATTGATGTGGTTTGTCTGTTTAATTCTGATTTGATCTAAACTAGTCTAGTACTCTTGTAGAGATTTGGTCTATGTGTGTTTTATAACTATCGTAATATATATAGTATCATCTGTTTAAGCCTAACCTGATATGATTTGTTTAAGTCTGGTCTAATCTAATCTGTTTAAGCCTGGTTTGATATGAATTAGTCTCGTAAATGTTTGATTATGTATATTTTATAACTATCAAAACCTGATCTAGTCTTAGATTCAAATGAGTCTATTAATACTACATCTGTCATATATTGATTGTTTTATTTTTGTTTAGCACAATTATTAATAAAACGATTTAAAAAATAAAAATTGTGATTATGATTCGAATAAAATAAAGTGAAATATGACGTTCATATTTGTTGCCCAAAAGGGTGGTATTAGTACTAGCTAGGACATAATCTTAATTAAAAATTATAAACTAACTAAAAAAGAATACATAACAAACCTAAGCACTAGTAAAAAATGACTCTCTCTCTAGGGTTTGACCGCCGCTAGGGTTTGGTTTCGTCCGTTATCGTCCCTTCGACGAGGAACGGTGCCGCCGGTTTTATTGGCTTTGGATTGGAGTTTTTTACGCTTGTTAACAAGAGAAGGGACTATTGTTCCCGTTATTTCGCCATCTTTACCGAAGCAGAGAGTCGGGGAGGGGGAAGCCGAAGCGAGTCCGACGCCGAGGGAATTGCATGGAGATGATAACCGATCTATACCGCAAGATGAGCATCGAGGAGGAGGCGGTGGAGCTGGATTTTGACGAGGTTGACACCGAAGAGGGTTCAAGGGAGGAGGCTCGGTCGGGTTTCCCAGTAGTGGGTGCGCTGATAACGGACATGAAGATAAAATTCCCAGTTTTCAGGGAGCTGATGGCTTCACTGTGGAGACCGGGGAAGGGTGTGGAGATCAAAGAAATCGGCGATAAGAGGCATATTTTTACTTTTATCACCCAGTTGCTAGGAAGCACATAAACTCTTCATGGCTCACGTTTCCACGTTTCGGAAACTCGGAAACTTCAAATTCCCGTTTCGGAAACTCGGAAACTTCAAATTCCCGTTTCGGGGCCATTTCCGTAATTAAGAAAAAATTGGAAACCCGTTTCACTACATTTCGAGATTCCAATTTTTTTCTTTTTCAAAAGATTCTGTGGTGGAAAATATTTTTTATAGTGAATTTTTGTGGCATTTCTCAGCGGCAACACTTGTTACATTTCGTAACGCAATGTATTGCTAGAAATGAATTACTCCGTACATTTTAGGTTTAACTATGTACTAATATGAAATAATATCTAAATTCGAACATGTAGAGTGATTTTATTATTTGGTTACTAAACAAATTATATTAAAAAACATGTGCATATGGAAAAACTTGTGTACATATATTAAAAAATATTTATAAATATATCCTTATATTTTATAATATTTACGTGTTTCCCCCACGTTTCTTGTCCTATATTTTTTAGAAATTACGTTTCTCGCGTTTCCCGTTTCCCGTTTCCCGTTTCCGTGCTACTTAGCCCAGTTGATATGAAACGTGTACTTGATGGTAGCCCATGGCAGTTTGAGAGAAATTTACTGATTATGAAAGAAATTAAACACACTGATATTCCACATAAGATCTGTCCGAATGAGGCAGAATTTCGGATGCGCGTTCACAATGTTCCGTATTGCTTAATGAATTTAGGCACTGTAAGAAGGGTGGGTAATTTTCTTTGTAAGTTCACTAGCTATGATAAATATCAATTTGGAGAGAAGTGGGAGTCCTACATGCGTGTCCGTGTTTGCATGAATATGGAAAAACCTTTGAAAAAGGGCACAACTCTGAAAAAAGAGGGTATTGGGTATTGGGGTGGACTTTGAGTATGAGAAGTTGCCAAACTTTTGCTTCATATGTGGTGTTATCGACCACTCGGAAAAATCCTGCCTATTAGTGTATGAAGAAGGATTAGTTCTGGAAAAAAGGTATGGTGTATCTCTTAGGGCAGATAGTGGGGTGAAGACCAGTCCTACAAGAAGGAATAAATGGCTTATCGAAGGAGGCTCAAGCTCGAGCAGGACTTCACATGATTGGGAGGAACAGAGGTCTGACGGAGGAACGAAGGGAGAGAAGGAAGACACAACGGTATCGGGTAGTAGCTCGTCCAAAGAAGTGGTTCTGGGAACTAATGAGGAGCCAACAGGGGAACAGAAACGCAGACGTATCTGGGAGGCGGGGAAAATACAACACCAGGGGGGGACGTGATGGCACTAGACGGGAACAAAAAATGGAGAGGAGACGGGCTTAGAGGGGTAAGCTCGTCAACGGTAATGGTGCGGAAGGGGGATCCAGGGTGGTGCCTTCTGGTGCTTGCTGGAAGACTGCGTGAAGACTTTATTTTTTCGTTTTTATTTATTTTGGCCTTTTGATGTTATCTGGTTTTATTTTATTTATTGCTTCAATTGTAAGACTATGATTTTGAGTTTGGATATGGGTGATGATTTAATTGAGATTACCGTCATTGACTCAGTTGTGCCCATAAAAGGATGAATGAGTTATATTACCAATATGATTAACTCTGAGTCTGGTTCGAGGGACGACGGTTTTCATAAGTTTTATTGTCGGATTACTTATTTACTATTTGAATGATATGTTAAGTCTCTTTCATCCCAAAAAAAAGTGTTGCCCAAAGAAAACATGACAGGACAATCTAAAGAGGAAAATTAGAAAACCAAAATGGGAAGGAGTTAGTTACACCTAACAAATTTCCCGTGGGCCCACCTTATAATGGTTCAGTTACAGCGCGTAAATGTGCAATGTATACTGTACCAGTACAGAGTACTAGATTAACTTTCGCTGCTGAAGAAATTTCGCTCTACCTATAAACCACATCATCGTTCTCTCACCCTAAGGAAGTAAAGCCGTTGAAGTTGGGTGTTTGGTGAGCGCATAGTTGACTACGTGGGAGATACTTTTGATCTCTTCAGCTTTCTTTATCTTTTTCGCCTAGGAGTGCGTGCGATTTGATTGCTTTTATCTGCGTTTATTAGTTATTTCTGTAATTGTCTGTCAGAAATTTGACTTCTTTGGTGTAGCTGCAGAGTTTAATATCATGGCAAGGAAGAAGATCAGAGAGTATGATTCTAAGAGGCTTCTAAAGGAGCATTTGAAACGTTTGTCTGGAATCGACCTCCAGATCTGCTCTGCTCAAGTACTTCTCTCTCTCTCTCTTAGTCTCTTGGGGTGGGAGGGGGTATATTTGTTTATGCTCCCGATCTTAACTATATTGGGATCTTGGGAAATAAAAAGTTCTGCTTAAAATAACGTCTGGAGTTTACAATTTTACTTCTTTGTTATGTTGATAATTTCTTTACTGAATGTTAAGTTTAATTGAAATCTGATAGTTCTGTATCTTGAAGTTCTCTGGTATATGTCTGTGTATTCCATTTCGAAAAGTCATGATCTTTAGTGATCATGATTGGCTAGTATAAAGCCCAATTGCCACATCCAAGCTTGTATGACCAATGACAACTAATGGTAGTTATCAGTAAACAGCTTAGTGAGTTAATCTTGCGATGTTTGAGCAGGTAGTTCCAGCTAATAAGCTGTAACGTACAGTGACTACTGTCCTTAATGCCATATACTTTTATTGGGGTAAACTGGAAAGGAAATGCCCTTTTACTCGTAATCCCAAGGACCCAAGCCCATAACTTTTTCCTCCCATTCAGTTGTTCACACCTCAGCTTGAAGTAAATCTTAACCCATTCTACTTGGTCAACTACACGGAACCAATCCCCCCATTATTTTCAGTTAAGCAATCAAGTACTTTTGAGCCACAAGAATATCACTATTGATGATGCAATCTGTAATCTAAATACTTCTCTTCATGTTATTTTTCCTATATCATAGAGGGGCGGATCCAGGATTTTGGGCAATCTTTTTCATTACGCTAGTGCTTTGTATATCATTTTATTTAAAGAATTGATAACAAAAAATCACTAGCATATAATTATTTATAAAGTTAGTTTTTAAAATACACGATTTTTAAAAGTCGGCATTAGCAGATCAAGAAATTAAGTGATACAAAATCAATGGAAGTTATCTGATTATAACAATTTGGATGGAAGGTAAATGTGTTGGTAAATGTGCTTAATCGATGTGAATCAACAGATGCTTTTTTAATTACTTTTGCCTTATCTAACTAAAGTAACTATGTAAATCTTGTAAAAATGAAGAAGCAATTTCCTAAGATGCATTTTTGAATAACTTGAATACTTGTTATTCAAGACATAAGTTTGTAATATATATAGAAATTGCTCAATGTATGACCAAAACATAGGCGAAGTTAAAAAAAAATAGGACGAAGTATGTTTTATCCTCCAAACAGGACTAATTTAGTCCTATCATAAGAATAAGTTGATTTAAACTCCCTAAAATAGGAGTGAATGAGTCGAATAAAACAATAATAGTCCTATTTATGAACTTTATCCTTGTTTTAGTGTTATTGAGGGAATTTCTTTAACTTATAGTACTCCGTACTCCGTAGTACTTATGGACTTATTCATTTTGAATTTAATATTTTTTTATACAAATATTGTTAATTTATTTAATATGTGTATATGTTATATGTAGTGTGTGTTAATGCCAGAATCTTTAAAAGTTTAATAGTTACACTTTCAGTCCCAACTTAAGGTTTTCATACACCTACAATATCAGGTTAATAGTTATATAACTTTAAGTATCTGCTTTAATATCAGGTTTTCAGATGAACTTAGGGTTTTAATAGTTACCCATCCAACTCAATGTACAGTCTTTTAGTATCTGCTTTATATACATATTTTTTATCAAATTGAAATTCAGTTTTTGTTATTAAAGAGAACTTCTGCCGTAGTTTCTGAATGCGTAGATTTCAGGGGAGGGTTAACTTTATCATCTGTGAACCCTCAACCATCGAAACCTGAACTGCGAACCTTGATATGAGATCTAGGGAGTATCAAATAGGTTTTTTTAAATAAGTCAAACACTAAGTTAATTATCCCTCTATTTTAAATGTCACACATGCTTTATATATGGGTTCATTTGAACATTATCACAGAACTGATTAATTGGCTTCCACGAATTTTTTGAGTATTTCTTGGTATGTTTTTACAAAACCATGTACCTTTTCATCTTATAAAGATCAACTTACAAAACTAACATTTTGTTACAAGAGAATGAAGAGATTAGATAGCATATTAGCATGCATCTGAAACTAATAAGTTTTCTATTATTATTTGTTTAATCAAGGAATTAGTAACTTTTATGTTCATGAAGAAAACATAATTTGAACTTAACTATTTTAGTTTATTTACGCTTTCAAACTTTACACCCCAGTTCCCATATTCAGTTTTATATATATACATTTTTTTTAATTCCAAGGGGGTGGTCGCCCCCTCCTCCTAAATCCATGTTACCTCTCACAATATCCAGTTCCATTGACCCTTCAATGATGAACACTTTTTTATGAACATGACGTGCTTGCAACTTGCTGGTCAAATTCCCTCTTTAAAGGCACCGGTTGGGCCTTCTAATAAATTATTGTGCAGCAATGCCATACTTATTATTAATATTCGAAAAAAATCCATTTTTGGTCCCATGACTATTATGCCACTTCCACATTTCTCCCTTGACTTTCAATTTAACCACATTTAGTCTGTGACCTTTTCCCCTTCACCACCCGTTGTCCTTCCGACCACAACTTCGGTACATTTTAACCAGAAAGCCATTTACGGTGAAATATTAGGTCAAAATGTTAAAGTTAAGTTATCAAAATGTACGCATTAAGTCAAGTTAATTTAGAAGGTAGCCGTTTTAGTAACATACATTTACTATAATGCCCCTAATATTTCTCTGTAAATGGCTTTCCGGTTAAAATGTGCTGGAATTGTGGTCGGAAGGATGATGGGTGGTGAAGGGGAAAAAGTCACGGACTAAATTTGGTTACTATTGGAAGTCAAGGGGAAAATGTGGAAGTAGCATAATAGTCGTGGGACCAAAAGTGGAATTTTTTCTTATTATTCCATATATCCATATCAACAACCTAATTTCGTTCTATGTCCTTAAATGGCCATTGGGACAAACTCCTCCTTAGAATGAAATGATCATCCAATGTTAAGCCATATTTTCTGACTTGTAAGTCTCTCTATCCTTGATGTCTTATCAGTTCATAGTTAAGGATAAAGATATGTAGTGACAAGTAATAGTTGCACATAAATCAGAAAACATGACAGAATAGTTGGGCAATATTTCGAAGGACTTTGTTCAAAGAGCATTTTCATATCCAATCAAATTTGAGATGTCAGTTTGCAAGTTTCCCTAACTTAAAGGGGGTAAAGCCAATTTTAAACAATGAAATAGTTGTTTAAAACTACTGTTGGTTAAAGGCCAAGCATCTCTTTTGAGTTACTACGTAATACTTTAAGTAACATTGTTTTTGTTTTCATGTTTTTCTAGCTGACAAAATGGGCAGGGGAAAAGTAAGGTCTTATTTGCTCTTTTTTTTTGTTTCATAAGTTTTATTTAATATATATAACCCTGATGGTCTTTTCCTACATTCAGCTTTACTGACATTATGGTTAAATAAATAAATTTATTCTGTATTCAATCATGACACTCATCACTTAAACTATCTCTTCAGGTAAATATTTAAATAGTTTTAACTTTTAAGGTTTCAACTTTTTTTTGCTAGGTAGTAGAAGCCACTGATTTCTCTGAGTTAACCAACAAAGAACCATGGATTTCATCCACAAAATTGGTTGTAAAACCAGATATGTTGTTTGGGAAGCGTGGAAAGAGCGGTTTGGTGGCGTTGAAATTGGATCTAGCAGAAGTTGCCGAGTTTGTTAAAGAACGGCTTGGTGTGGAGGTCAGTATAGTAGTATACCCAAAAAAAGTTAGCTGAATGTTCTTTCTTTTCTTTTTGTTATGTGATAATGGTATACTTATACACATATGTTAACTTACCCAGGTTGAGATCAGTGGCTGCAAGGCGCCTATTACAACCTTCATTGTTGAACCATTTGTTCCCCATGAAGAGGAATATTATCTTTCAATAGTCTCTGAAAGACTAGGGTGTACAATTAGCTTCTCAGAATGTGGAGGCATTGAAATTGAAGAAAACTGGGATAAGGTCATATCTTTAAAAAAGGGAAAATAATTTTAAATAATACAAACTATCTTCCATGAACCAAGAATAATGCGTGTATTGGAAATAGTTTTAATAATACCAACTATTTGACTATATAACAAAAGTGATATACAACAATTTTTCACTAAAAATTCAGTCATTTAACTTAGAAAAAACTATTATTAATATATCAAATAAGTGACCCTATTTCAAATATCATTTATTTGATGGGTTGATATCAATTTTTTATGTCGTAAGTGACTGAATTTCTTATCGAAAAGCGGCTCTATATTATTTTTGTTATTTATTCAAATAGTTGGTATTGTTAGAAATCATTTTGAAAGTATGTATTATTATTGGTTTATAAGTGATAGGTCGTGTTATTAAAAGTTATTATCCCTTAAAAAAACCACATGTCACTCATAGTTTCCTTATGAAGTTTCGTTTCATTTTTAGCTGGATGTATCATTTTTATTCAACTGATCTGAGCTGTGATTTGGATTATCCTCCTGAATGTTACAGGTCAAGACAATATTCCTTCCAACTGAAAAGCCTATGACTTTGGAGGCATGTGCTCCACTGATTGCCACACTTCCTTTGGAGGTGGGACACAAACACTGGGTTTTGCTTTCGTATTTCTAGAATAGGTCAACTGGTCAACTCTATTTTTAGTTCTCAAAAAATGGAAGTGTTTATCTGTATCCATTTGTGCTGGTTTTCTAGATCTTATTTCTTAATATACTGAATGTCATATATGTTTCCATGCTCCTGAATATAATAAAACTGTTTCTGTTCTGAAATACATGATGCTTTCCATTGTCCCACACCTTTTTTCATACGTATGTATATGCATGCAAGCGTGTTTGTTTTTTAGCCTGGGTTATTTGGAAAAACATGTTTGTAGATACTGATTATGTGATCTGAAGCTCTTTTTTACCTGAGCTGTCTTTCTCCATTGCCCTAAAGCATGAGCCATTTTTTCAGGTAAGGGGAAAAATTGGCAACTTTATAATGGGTGTGTTTGCTGTATTTCAAGGTATGCTCTACCACTCTGAATTTGGGAGAGATATGATATCATCTACTACGTCTGTCCCACTATCTTTTTGGAACATGAGGAAGTGAAATGTATATTAATGGAAGTGTAATTATGTGGTTTGTATTGAATTTGTTAAGTTCGATCGATTTTGAACCACACAAATATTACCAAATATAGCATGCGGCAAACTTAGTGGGATGATGAAAAGGAAAGATGAGACAGAGATACTCGGATAGAGCGAGTATCTATTATGAATAGACTACTAGATATAGCAGATTATCAAGTGGCATTTAGTCGGATATCACGAAGTGCATATCTTTGGTTCTGGAGACGTAACTATTTTCCTTGTTCTTTTTCTTTCCACTTATTCCTGCAGTCTGATGTTCTTTTTCTTTCCATTTATTCCTGCAGTCTGACGAAGTTATCTATTACTGAACGCCCTTTTTAAAATTGTCTTTTTCCTCGTGAACAGACCTGGACTTCAGTTTTCTTGAGATGAACCCATTTGCGCTTGTTAATGGTGAACCATATCCCCTGGATATGAGAGGAGAATTAGATGACACAGCCGCCTTTAAAAACTTTAAGAAGTATGCATAAAATGTAAAATTCTATTGAGCAAAATGGGGTGAAAAAGAAGTGACTAATATTGATTTCCAGGTTTCGTTGATGTCAACTCAATCTAACATGTTTTTTTCTCTCTAGGTGGGGTAATATTGAGTTCCCTCTACCTTTTGGGAGAGTTTTGAGCCCAACAGAAAGGTTTATTCATTCATTGGATGAAAAAGTAAGTACAAATGGGTAACATATTTGAAATGTAAATGTGATTGGATCAGCGTGCTTATATATCTGATATCCTTAATGCTATTCAATATGGCTATGTCTAGTAAGACTCGTTGCGTTTACGGCATAGCTTGCATCCTCTTGTGTGGGCATAAGATGAGTTATTGAGTGTCTGGCTTAATAACTTCTTTCCCACGCTGTTTTCAAGTTTCAAAAGTTGCCTTTCTTGTTGATGTAATGCTTGAACCATGTATTTTGCTCCAATATTATGTAGACCAGTGCGTCTCTGAAGTTTACTGTTTTGAACCCCAAAGGACGGATCTGGACAATGGTAGCTGGTGGTGGAGCAAGTGTAATATATGCTGATACAGTGAGTGCCCTTAATTATTCCATTGTTGAACTGGTCGATAGGATGCTCCAAAACTGGTAGACTCCAGTTCAGTTTACGAGAACTGCGTCAGGGGGCAACCTTGCTTAGCAAGGAGGCAGACCCCACATTCTATTGATCTGGTTAAATATCCCAGCAGACTATCCGTCTTGTTCTTGGAGCACCATCTGGTTCTGGGAGCACATGGGGATGGTTACATGTGCACCAAAAGGGATGCAATGTTCTTTATTCATATCCGCAATTCCGCATACTTGAAATGCCGACTTGCTCACCTAGTCCTCTCGATTTAACCAGGTTGGAGATTTAGGCTATGCATCTGAGCTTGGTAATTACGCAGAATATAGTGGAGCTCCAAATGAAGAGGAAGTTTTACAATATGCTCGTGTAGTTCTTGATGTGAGAATTTAAGCTTTATTATTTATCGATCAATGTGGAGAACATGTTTGAAGATATCAACTGTATTGAGCAATTTTGTTTTGTTTTGTTTTTGAATCAATAGTGTGCCACAACTGATCCAGATGGCTGTAAGAGAGCTCTCATTATTGGAGGGGGCATTGCTAATTTTACAGATGTTGCCTCTACATTCAATGGAATTATCCGAGCTCTAAGGGAGAAGGTTGGTTATATTGATGAATAGTACACAACAGCTTGCTCCCCTCCCCCTCGAATCTTCAGTTTATTAATGTGAATATTTATTTTTAAAATTAATAGGAATCCAAGTTAAAAGCTGCTAGAATGCACATTTATGTTCGGAGAGGTGGGCCTAATTATCAAACAGGTTTGGCAAAAATGCGTGCATTGGGAGAGGAGTTGGGAGTTCCTCTAGAGGTACACACTTCTTCTCTTTCGCAGTATTTTATCTGGTTGGGCACTTATAATGAAAGATTCTTTTTGTTCCATTACAAACATTTTGTATTATATGAAACCATGTACAAGCACATTATGAAATTTTTGCAGGATGATCATGAAATAGATTAAATTGTACTGAATAAGTAGCCTTTTCTCGATTATCTTCTGAGAATGACTTATTTCGCCACCTTTTGCTTCCTGTCTGCAATAAGAAACTTTATTAAAATTCTACAAAGCATGTTGATGTTATTTAGGACGTTTTTTTCTTATCAACTCCATTACCTGGGACGTGCAACCCTGCAGTTCATCACTACTTCCTAACCTCTGCCAATAGTATATGCTAAAAGAAGTATTAGTTGTTTTTTATTGTTTCAGGTTTATGGACCCGAGGCTACAATGACTGGCATTTGCAAACGAGCAATTGATTGTGTTATATCCACAGCATAGATTTCAAAGTCTCTTTCCTTTTTGTTTTTTAGGCTTCTTTATTTTCCGTGCTTTATTCCTTCCAAATCAAAACTGAAAGTGCATTTTCTGAATTCATGAAACTTTTGCAATAACAGAGAAGTTTGAAAAGAATTGTTTGTCGGCATTCGAAGGATAATCATATGTAATAATGCAAATGACCTATTTGCAACATTATCATAAGTAAGAGCAGGAAAAATATGCTCCCATTCTCATTATATTTACATTTTACTGCATAAGTTTCATATGCATAAGTTTACATTTGAGAAAACTGTCAAATGGTCCTTCTACCTATTGTCATAAAATTAATTTGGTTCTTGTACTTCTATGTGAATCAATCAAGCCATGGAAGTGTGAAACAACAATCAATTTTGCTATTTAGCCGATTTAATATAGATACTGCCGGTTAATGTTGACATGGACACTCATGTGGCAATAATTTTTATTTTTTTTCTTTTCCTTTTATTTCTCTTTCTCTCTTTCTTTAGGCTGACTTCTTCTTCCCTGGTTTGCATCGGCCGGACAGTTTGTTTTTTTCTTTCCTTAAATGTTATAACATGTACTATTAGATGATATAATAACTTTTGGGTAAAATGTCAAATAGGTTTTATATTATTATAAAAAAGTCAATTAGATTCTCGTATTTTTTCATGAATCAATCAAGTCTATTTAACTATGTAGTGTAGTATCAACTATCAAATTAGCTTTTTAGTCAGTTGACGGGTTGATAGTTTGATACTCTCTTTCATTTTTCTCCCCACCCCCACCCCGTTCTTCTGCCTTGCCCCAATTTCTCTCTTTTCTATTTCTTTATCTTCATTCCTTTTCGATTCTCTTTCTTTGGACAGTTGAAGAAGGCATGGCCTATGGGAGGTGGGTGGCGGTTTGGGAAGATATTTGAGATGAATCGGCAACAGTTGGGTTAGTTGTGGGTGACAAGATATGGGTGGGGAAGTTGTGGGCCGCAGGCAGCGATGGGCGATTAGGTTGCGTCTATGGGTGATGGGTGGTAGATTGGAGAAGTTTGGGCGAAATTTAGGGCTACGGTGACACGGGCGACGTTTGGGGAAATTGTGGGTGGCATCTGGATGGCAGCAGCATTTCAGGGAGTTTTGGGCTACGAGAACTTCATTGACTTTTTCATAAATCATAATGGTACTAAATCTATTTGACAATTTTTTCAAAAAAAAAAAGAAATATGTCATCTAATAGTCCAATGTATAACATTTATCTCGCCCTTTTTTATTCATATCATCTAATGAAGCTTGTTTTGAGTAATATGGGCTTATATTGTGATCTTTTTCTAAAATTAAAACGTCCAATGAGCTTAGTTATATCAAAACAATTATCATATCTACAAGACTACACCTACAAGAAAGTTGTGGTATAACAGTCGATGAAGAGCACGTGAATGAAATGTACACATTATAGGCTATTTAAAAACCTATTTTCAACTTATTAGCCGAAATGTTACTTTTGATTTCGTGCATTGAATTATATTCTCCATTAGTTTAACAAGTAATGTCTTTTTTGTCAAAATAAGTAATGTTTTTTCGTCAAATATGTGACTTTAATAATCAAAACAAGCTTCATTAGTTTTTTTCTTTACTTTATTAATAAAATATGACTTTTCAGTAATTCAACCGTTCAACCGTTCAAAACTTTAGTCTTTTAAAAATGAAATATACTCTCAAGCAGTCAAGCATAACAAACACATATAGGCATATACGCATATAGAATTTCCATGAGTTTCATTAGATAGCTGTTCAATGCTCTACGTAGTTAGATAATGTATGCACGTAGAGCTAATTACTACTACAAGCTAATAACTGCATTAAGTAGAGTCTTGACGGTTTTGAGGATAATGAAACATAACCCATGTACCACAATATACTAGAGAATTAATGTTTTTAGTTTTGTACTGGCGCAACGTTACAGCATTACCCATTGAACTATCATGGAGCCACTTGATTCCTGCAACCAACTGAGAAATGGCAAGAAGGCGTCATAAGTTTCCAAAAAGGAAACAAAATTAGCATGTAAAACGTTGCTTGAGAAGCAGAAAGCACTTGAGTGTATACTTACTCTGAGCTTTCAAGATCAAAGGGAGGCAAAATTCCAGAAAAGCTAAGCCATAATCCATGATACAGTAAAAATGTAAAGAAGACTAAATGTGCAATTGTGCAAAGGTGAATGCAATAAAAGATTATCAAAACTTATGGTGGCATTGGCCCAGGTTGGGTTTAAAATGGATCCATAAACTGCCCATCATATCTCGAGTTATGCAAATCCTGGACAATACAGAGGTCCAATGCTAGCGGGCCAGGCTGGGTTTTTGGAATTTCTGGTTCAGGTCAGGTTTGGGCCTGGTTGGTCAATGCCTGGCTAAAAAGTTTCCCTGTTACATTTTTTTGATATAAAGTTTTAAACCTGTTTTCAAACGTTTTATGTTCAAAAATAAAAATGACGAACTACATATGACATAATAATCATCAAATCCATCAATCATTAATCCAAACTAGTGCTTTACCTCTGAACTTTAAGGTTCCTTCAGAGCTTTAATTTGAAGCCCACTGACAGGAAGTTGTCTTTCTTTTTCTTGGAACCATCCGTTTGAGTCTCTCCTTTCTCCTGCTTCTCCCGAGAACTTTTTTGAGCTTTAGTAGGTCCACCGTAACCCATCATGGAAGGACTGCCCAAATATCGGTTACAACTTAGAACAACATTTCGCTATATTAAAGAATAATTAATAACAAAAAGCTGCTTCAACATTTTTAAAAAAAATGCACCAAATATTACTTCATCTCAAACACAAGTCCTATTTGGTTCAGGTACATCCTTTTCAACTGGAAAGGTACAAGTGCTAAAAGTGATGTAATCACATGAAAAACCAGTTCCAACTTAAGAAATAGAACACTCTTTTTTGTATGGAGTACAATTTTATTAAAAATAAGACCTTATCATAGTACCGATTGAGTAGATCATATACTCTGCTGTATGTACATATGAAACATGTCAAGTTTAGTATCATATAGTATAAGTTATTAACTGTAAGTGCAAAAGAAGTGTGAAGAAGTACCTGTCATTTGTTTGCAACTCCCGAACCCCACGTCCATACACAGATTCAAATGTTTCAAAGTAATTAAATATGGTAGCATCAGCTTCAGAGTCAAGGCTCTGGAGACATTCAAAGCTTCCAGATAAAAGATCGCAAGACAATAGGTTCTTAGAGTTTTGGAAGAGCAACTCATCGTTTTTCCAACAGCCCACTAGCTTGGGAGGTGCTAGTGAAGCATATGTAACAGTGAAACTCTTGAACCAGGACGCACTGTTATGATAATCACCCAAAACCCATACCTCGAAGGCACTACAACCATGTTTATCAAACGCAACCAGAGAAAGACAGCCATTGATACACACAAGTTGTCTCTCAATGGAACCATCTGTTCTAGGTACAGCCATTTTTCTGAACTCCTCTTTCCCAATGTCAAAGACAATGATCTTTTTAGAATTGTACCAGTGCATACACCCATTAACGATAGTGGGCGTGCTACCAGTCAATAAATACTTAAAATTACAACTGATCAACTTCCAGGTGCCAGCACTAAATGCATACACCCAGACCAAGAATGAATTTCTTTGGTTGGCAAACCCAGGCATGTTCCATACTCTTAAAAGCTTGTAATCATTGGATTCAGGAGAGTAGCCAAAACCTAAATAAGTTGACACACCCCCACAGAGCGTGATATTCTTCCATGTTGCTAGTTCGGACGAAGCAACCTCAAAAGGAGCACCTTCAGGGACGTCAATAATTCGATATTTAGTGGTGGCCGGATTCCAAATGACAATTTTACGAGAGGCGTTAAGGTTTACGGTGTGATTGAGACTCACACAGACCAACCCATTACAACAACCATCAACTCGAAAATCATTCACATAATCAGATCCCAAATGGAAAGGAAACCGCAAAGCTGTTTTAGATAAAGGAAACAAAACCTCGCCGCTTTCTTCTAGGTTAGAGACGGGGACTGGGGATGTGGAAATGGACGTGACGGAGCGGCTGTCAGACTCTCTAAGGAGGAGAGAGTGTGTTGAAGGAGCGCTGCCGCGTAATTGGTGAGCGAGATACATACGAGCGAAGTCGGGGCTGGTGATGAACTCGCACCACCCCTTGCTCACAGCTCGGAACCGGAGGAGCAACTTTACTGGCAACCTCAGAAGAATTTCCACCACCGCAAAGCCGGGCAAATCGCAGTTCGGCAGAGACATTTTCCTTCAACAGCGTGCTTTTGTTCCAAGCGCGGTCGTCGCACAACTATCCGAGCTAGTGAAGGCTGGAGGGAAGCAAAGTGAAGGCCGGAGCTCGAGCAAAGAAGCTTATCCGGACAGCTCTATAAATGATTCGTTGATCCCCGTACCAGAGTAGATGGATATTTGTACGCGTGTCATGAAAACCTAATTGGAAAGGGAATGAACAGGGCCGTCTTTACGATTTTTTGGGCCCCAGACATCAACTAAAATATATTTTCATATTAGTGAAAACTAGTAAATTCACCCGTGCGATGCATGATTTGAAAATTTTTCTTTCAAATTTATGTGTGCTTAGTGAGTCAAATCACACTATCAATCGATGACAGCATGTCAGCATCTATCTTCATGTAATACTGATATACATCAAAGCATTAAACGAAACACACTTATAATATTATGGTCAAAATGAGAGTATTAAACATTACTTAAAAAGATAAAAATACATCCAACTAATACGTTGAAACCATACCATTGTTGAACACTTTTGAATACTATTTAAGAACTCGGGTGTGTGCAGTTCCACCATTCGATCGGTCGTATAATCTACCTTAGAAGCACTGTCATAACTAAGATATGTTCTTGAAACTTCACAAACTATTAAGAGTCGTTAATAGCTTCAACCACAGTCAGTGTCGGTGCCAAAATTCAACATATTTCGGAAATATGCTTTCAATTTTGCAGCTATAGGATCTCCATCTGTGCGTATCAATAGTTCATCAGGAATAGTAATACGAACATGACCATCATTACTTTCACCCACAACACCGTCACCAATGTTGGCAATCCAATCTGAAAAGACTTTCAAATCATAAGAATATGATGGATTAGTCATGTTTAGCAGGCGCATATTTTTTGTCAAATGAAAAACTGGAATTCCGACCACATATATGATGGATTAATCATCGCATTGACTACATCTTGTTTACTCTCAAGAGGTATCACC